ACGGTCCCTCGCTTACATAATATACAAAATACACTGTCACCATGAGCTGTTTACCTTTTTATTATAATGGATGCTTGAAGTTTTTGAATTTTTTTAACATTTTGTTATACTCGTAAAGTTGTGTCTTCAGTAATCTCTTCCTACCCCATGTGCACGTGTAATTTACGTGATGATGGTTCGAATTCTCTATGTGCCGTACACAGACATCGCCAGCATGTGTGGTCAGGTTCCGCCCCACCGAGTCATGGCGTTCCTCAACGACCTCTTCACCACTTTTGACCAGCTGGTGGAGAAGCATCAAGTTTACAAGGTCGAGACCATCGGAGGTATTGCATTGTACGGCATCGTCGTACATATCATAGTACGGAAGTGTACGGGACTGAGCAAGGCCTACGGGCTACAGGTCGACCACTGGCCGCCAGGGCAGCACGGGGGGGGGGCCGTACGTAGCTCCACGTGTATGTAGCTCGAAGCTTGCTGCGACAGATGATGTGTTTCTAGGCAAGTCCGCACATCGTTCGTGAAAACCTACCTTTCCACAAGCTTCGCAAGATTTTACTTAATTTTTAGTAGTATTAACTTTTACTTTAATTCAGTTTTCGGTTTCTGTTGGCAGCGCATGTTGCCGGGCCCTCCTCCTCCCCCTCCCCCTCTCCCCGCTTCGTGCGTTAGTCTGTGTATCGCTCTTGCCCTTCTCGCCCCAGTCAACGTCGCCAGCCGAATGGAGTCCACGGGTGTACCTGGTGCCGTACACATTTCTGCGGCCACGCGGGCCTTATTAGGCGCCGCGGCCGACGGGTTTCTTTCCACGGGGGGAATTCCCGTCAAGGGCAAGGTACGGATTGGGGAGTTGGCAGTTGACGGCTGGGAATTGATGTTATTGTTCTTTCCTGGTATTATTCGCACTTTATTCGCACTGGTCCACATGCCCACGGATCCGCCACCACGCAGTTCTCTTCGGCAGTTGTTTACCGGAGAAGTGAGGGGGGGGCATGTTCCCTCACTCACTCACTCACTCAAAGAATACCAAGCGCAGCATCATTCGCGTATTGGGGTGTGAAACGCAGTTCTTCATGCAGGTCGTCATCATGTCATCCTTCTCTGCGCCTCCCCCCGGCCTCACCAAACCATGTAACCCATGCGGTTGTATGACGTACGGCGCAGGGGTTCATGCTCACGTACGTGTACGACCCGTGCGGCGTCGCTCCGCAGCGCTCTTAAACAGTCTCCCGAACTGGATCAGGTGCGGAACGGGAGGGTGGCGCTGTGGCGGGTGCCGCTAAGCTATCGGGTGCCTGTCCTGATCCTGATTTACCAATCTTGACCGCTACAGCCGTGCCGGGTATTGGTAGGGAAGGTCCCCAGGTCCCGGGGGGAGAAGCATCTAGCGGTACACCGACAGAGGCGCCGCCTCCGTTGCCGCAATAGGCCATGTACGACATGACGTACATGGCGCCCCAAGTGGTATGATTGTGCGCGCGTGTTGCAAAAGCGAGGACCGCTCTCTTGCGTGTGTGCCATTCCCGAATGTATATTCGACGTGTGTTGTACTGCAGCATGTACGGAGTACGGAATACGGCATAATACGGATATGGCACGTGTTTGTACAATTGTGTCAGTTTTGTACTTTGGCTTGGTCCTGCGATGTCGGTTCCCGCAGCTGTGAGGGAAGGTGTTTTCCGGGCGCGTGCAGGAGGGTCCTTCGAACCCGCCATGAATATCTAGCTAGCTAGCTAGCTAGCAGGATTGTGTCTTGTAAATTATTTTGGCGCTGGCAAATATTTGTCTTGGCAGGAGTTTGTGACTTGGCTTTGCGAGGGTCGTGGTAAGGGTCGCTGTTTGAGAGAGAGGAGAGGAGAGAGAGAAGGAGAGGGAGAGCGAGACAAGTGTCAATGGGGAGACGCGCATTGGATTCGATACGATTCATTAAACTCTGAGCATATACTACTAAACTCTGTGTGTATCTATTTCTAATTGTCTGCTATTGTTATTACCTGCCGTACTACCTGCCGTACTACCTGCCGTAGTACTATGGGTACCATCAGTGCGATAATCCAGGATGAAACCAATGCGTCGTTATTTGTGTACGTCTGTATTTATATACGTGTGTTTGTGCGCGTCTGAATGCCTTTATGTAAATTTGTATGCATATGTATGTATGTATGTATGTATGTATGTATTATATTTGTCGACTGTCGCGTGAGAGGCAACATCGTGCAAACCTGCGAAAGGGCCTCTGGAGCCCTTCTGGTTGAAGAGCGGGTGATGGGGGGCCTGATGTGCCGCA